GCCCTTATTATGGCCCCATTGTATGATAAACAGTCTGGTAGATTTTCACTTTTTATGGACAGGAGAAAAAGGAGCATAATTGGCATCCAGAGTACAAAGTTGATTGATGTAGCCAGGATTCGTCCTTTAGTATAGCCACTGTCTTTTTGCTAAACTTTCTTTTTATTGAGATGTAACCTACATAAAGTGCACAAATCTTAAGTGTACAACCCAGTGAATATGTGTACACCCAGACCAGTGCTAATTATGAATGTCATCCTGATACTTTCTAATGTTCTAAGTAGAGGCCTCTGAGCATTGTTCTCACAGCCTTTTCTGTGATCTAATAAATGCCTACAAATCAACGTGCAAAGAGCCAGATTCTCCTTGCATCTCGAGGATGTGAACATTTGGGGGGAAATGAAGAAAAACAAAAAGGTTTTTATAAATGCCATGCTTTTATGCTTCTCTGCCCCAAGTCTTCTTTTTTCGATTTAATTTTATTATTAATTAAAAGTATACAAAAAATGATTAGACATTTACACCCCTCACCAAGTGATAACCCCACCAAGCCTACTACCCTCTGACATCGTACATAACTATTACAATACCATTGACTATATTCCTTATGCAGTACTTTACATCCTGTGACTATATGTATATATATATATATATGTATATATAATATATATATATATATATATATATATATTATGATAGTTGGCATTCAGTATTATTCCACATCAGCTTCAAGTGTATAGCGCAGTGGCAGGCATCTACACAGTCTATGAAGTGATCCCCCTGTAAGTCCAGTACCCATCTGATACCTTACATAATCTTTACAACATTATTGATTGTATTCCCCATACTGTATTCCCATGACTATTTTGTGACTACTAATTTGTACTTCCTAATCCCTTCACCTTCTGCCACAGTTCTTAAACCTAGTCTTTGACCTGGGGAAATTAGCCTCATATATTCATTTTGTTTCTTATTTTAAGAAACAAACTAGATCTGCAAAAAATCTGATAATCACCTGGTCACTTCTTTACTCTTAATTTGACAGGATTGCCTATTGTATTATTGCCTATGAGAGAAAGTAGAACTCACAGTTGGTAGGTAAACATTTTAACAAATTTTTACCAAAAAAAAAATATTGGCTGCTTTCTTACAGATATGAGATCCTAACTCCAAATGCTATTCCTAAAGGCTTTATGGATGGTAAACAGGCTTGTGAGCGAATGGTAAGCTTTTCTTGATTTATGGACTGGTTTATGGACTATTGATATAATCTTTCCTATAGCAAAAAATAAACGAACTCTTTCTCTTTTAGATCCGGGCTTTAGAATTGGACCCAAACTTATACAGAATTGGACAGAGCAAGATATTTTTCAGAGCTGGAGTTTTGGCACACTTAGAGGAAGAAAGGGATTTAAAAATTACCGATATCATTATCTTCTTCCAGGCTGTTTGCAGGGGTTACCTAGCCAGAAAGTAAGTGGGTAATCATAAAAAGGAGACAACTGTTTCTTCTGGGACAGATCAAAAGAAAAAGAGGGAAATAGCTAATAAAGGAGGAATAAAGAACACCAGCAAAGGGAACCTATTGTCGTATTGTCTTCATTGTCTCAAGAAAGTAGGGGATTCGTGCATATCTAAGAGTTCCGCATATGTGCGCATGTGGGTAAATGGCAGAAGAGCACTGTCTCAGGCAAGAGCTATGAAGCAAATGCAGGGAATCCGTGGCAGATGCTTGAGGTCACCTGAGCATCAGTTGCTACATACTCAAGTGGGCAGTCCCACTTCCCCTTGCATTTCACCCGAGCACTTGATGGATGTACCCCATCTTAGCCAAATAATGTTTGCCTTTAGGAAGTACTCTTATGACAACAGTTATTCAAACACATTGTTCTTTGCATAATAAGTTTTTCTCACTGTTCTTCAGGGCCTTTGCCAAGAAGCAGCAACAACTGAGTGCCTTAAAGGTCCTGCAGCGGAACTGTGCAGCTTATCTGAAACTCCGGCACTGGCAGTGGTGGCGCGTCTTCACGAAGGTGGGCTTCTGTGCTTCTGTCTAAAGAGCGGCGTTTGACCAGTAAGAACCCATGGGAAGGAGATGTGATGATAAACGGCTTAATTTTGTCTCAGGTGAAGCCGCTCCTACAAGTTACTCGCCAAGAGGAGGAACTTCAGGCCAAAGATGAAGAGCTGTTGAAGGTGAAGGAGAAGCAGACAAAGGTGGAAGGAGAGCTCGAGGAGATGGAGAGGAAGCACCAGCAGGTACGCGCATTGACTTCATCAAGTCACAGCCTGCCCTGAATTGGTAGGAGAGCGCCCACTGATAGGAACTCATACACACTGAGTTATGAATAGCTATGCCCACCAGACCATCTTATGTTATGTGTACCGTTCACTCCTTTCCAAAGCAGACATTTGAGAATGGAGGTAACAGAGACATTATGCCATGCATTTGGGTTTCTATAAACCCAAATCAACCTTACCTCTTGCATTTTTGCCTTTGTCAAATTCTTTGGACACACAGATGACCATGTTTGGTCATCTGTTTTCGATAAGACTCCCAGTGTTATCGCCCTTCCATGGCTGCTCAGGTGGGAAATAGGAAAAGTAAAAGGATGAGCTAGTACAAGGCCACCACCTACCTCTTCTCCAATGACAGTGGCCTTGAATCATTGTCCCTCTCCTAGGCAGTTGTGGCTCATGGACAAAGCGGAGGCTCAGCCAGTGTTTATAGAGAACACTAATAGAATTGTAGTGTTTAAAGCCAAAAAGATAAACAAGAAAGGCCAAGAGTATCACTTGATCCCAAACAGCTTTCGTAGTCACTGTGAACTTTATTGCACTTGAATATTTTCCCTCTCCAGTTTTTCTGTCCTTTGTAAATTACTAGAAGAACTGGAGTTCTTAAAATAGCATGAACGTAATGTGTATTACTCAGGATAATTTGAAACAACCAAAAATGTTTTCATCTAGCTTATTTTGCTCCAGCCGAAGATACACTTGAAAGTTTTGCCAGTGACGTTATATATTTTTAACTCTTAGTTTCTTTGGTGAGGTACATTGACCATTGAACCCATGGTGGCTTTGTCTCGTGGGTACACTGGGGCAAATCATAACACTGGACACTTTATTGTGATTACAGCTTTTAGAAGAGAAGAATATCCTTGCAGAGCAGCTACAAGCAGAGACTGAGCTCTTTGCTGAAGCAGAAGAGATGAGAGCAAGACTTGCTGCTAAAAAGCAGGAATTGGAAGAGATTCTACATGACTTAGAGTCTAGGGTTGAAGAAGAAGAAGAAAGAAACCAAATCCTCCAAAATGAAAAGAAAAAAATGCAAGCACATATTCAGGTATCTGTGATCGTTTTTATTTAGAATTATGTTTTGAGTTTTCCAAATGGATCTATCAAATAAATAGAAGCTATGGGTTTGGATTCTTATGTGCATTGAGGAGCAAAAGGAGTCTAGGTTAGAAGTACCTACACTTAAAAATAAAATAAAACAAAACACTGAATTTAAGGTGAAAATAAAATAAGTGCCAACCCTTACAAGATGACCATCATTCAAAGCACACATGTAATAAGTTTTCTTCAAACAATAGATTTGTTATTTTGAATAGGAATCTTTTTTA